AGGCAGGCGACGATAGGACAGACGGGAGAGTGGGCGTTCCCGGCAGAAGAGGCGGGGCAGGGCTTTGCTCCAGACGCAGGAATACCACGTGCGAAAACAAAGGGGTGTGCGAAGGCATGTGTACAGCGGCAAATTGCGGGGAGAGGCGCCGGACTTGGGCGATGGGAGACTTTTCCTGCGCGGATTTCTCTCCTGCTTAGGGTCTGTTCTTGTCCGTTGGACAAGAGAGCCTAAGGATATCACCTGCCACGAGGTTCGCATCTGAAAATGACCTGCAAGTCCGTCCACCCAACTTTCACTTTTTATAGACAAATATACAGAGGCCTTAGAGAAGTGAAATGACTTGTCTCAGACCACAGCTCCGGTCAACACTGGGGTCCTGACGGCCACTCCACGGATGTTCCTGCTGCTGGTTCTCGGGCACTGCCCGGGATATCCACCCCAACTGCCCCGTGAGCCCGAGTCCGGGTGTCTCCCGACGGACTACACCTCCCACAATGCCTTGGGTCTAGCCTCCCTCCCGCCGCCGGGCTGGGCGCTGTCTTCGCCAATAGAAAAGCAGGGTTTCCAGGGGCCGTTCTCGGCAGCCAATGAGCGCGGTGGTGGGCGGGCCTCTCCCGTCCATTGTTCTCGGTGCCCCACGGGCTTGAGCCGAGGTGAATCCGGAGGGGCCGGGCCGAGCCCGGGGGCGCTTTTGTACGCGAAGCAGCCGCCGTAGCAGGATCGTGTCTCCCTCGAGGTGAGCCGAAGAGGCAGGCTGGGGCCCGCGCGGACCCAGGGCAGTAGCCCGCGGCGAGGGAATAACGGGCCTGGAGCTAGCTGCCGGCAGCCCTGCTGGGGGAGGGGCGTCGGGGGCGCTGTCCGTGCCCCGCGTTCCCGGGCGGCTTGGATTGGCAAACCGACCCCGGCTCTTGTCCCTGGCAGAGAGCTCCTTGCACATCCTACTGGGAAGCGCAGGGTTTGGACTGGAAGGGACATTGGACGACATCCCGCACAGCCCCCTCGTTTTACAGAAGGGGAAACTGAGTTTCAGAGGGGGCGTGTCATGCACCAGGTCAGACAGCAAATTAGCTGACTTAGCATAGTTTTCCCGGCTCCCGAGAAGGAAAGAGTTCCGAGTTCTGTTTGTGTTTCTTCTAGTCGTTTGGGTAAATATACGTTGAGCGCTTCGGTTTTCCCACTGGCTTTTCTTTTTATTAGCTTCTCCTAGTTGTCGAGGGGGATCATCTGAGTCTTTACGGTGTAGCAATGGTTTTTTAAAATATTTTTTATTGCCTTTATAATATTCTAAATCGTGTGTAATTCCACTGCTCTCAGTGTTTTGTAGAGTTGCGGTCCAGATCTAATTTCTTGTGCATATGTTCATTTTTACAGGGAATAAGGGTCTGTCTCTGTGGTTTTTCTGCCTTGCTGGTTTTGTTTTTATCCATTATTTTCATTTCAGGAGGACTATCTTAAATCATTAATGATTTAATCTTTGTTAGTATAACTTTGAAAATATTTTAAAAATTCCTAAGCAGAGTGCATACATCTTAAATTTCATATGTATGCTCTGGTGCAACCGTTGCCAAATCAAAAATATAGATAATTTCTGGCACCCCAAAAGGCTCCTTTGAGATCCTCCCCAGTCAATACCCGTCCCCCTAGAGGTTGCCATTATTATGTTAGCATAATTTCTTTCTTTCTTTCTTTCTTTCTTTTTTTTTTGAGTTGGAGCCTCACTCCGTCACCCAGGGTGGAGTGCAGTGGCATGCCCTGGTCACTGCAGCCTCAACCTGGGCTCAGGTGATCCTTCTGCCTCAGCCTTCTAAGTAGCTGGAATTACAGACGCACTTCACCATGTCCAGCTCGTTTTTGTGATTTATTGTAAAGATGAGGTCTCATCAAGTTGCCCAGGCTGGTCTCAAGCCCCTGGTCTCAGGCAATCCTCTTGCCTCAGCCTCCCAAAGTGCTGAGATTACAGGCTAAGCCACCACGCCCAGACTTCTTTTTTTTTTTTTTTTTTGAGTGGGCGTCTCACTCTGTTGCCCACGCTCACAGCCACCGCAGCCTTGACCTGCTGGACTCAAGTAATCCTTCCACCTCAGCCTTCCAAGTAGCTGGAACTACAGGTGTGCACCACTACACCTGGCTAATATTTTTTATTGTAGAGACAAGGTCTCACCAAGTTGCCCAGGCTGGTCTTGAAGCCCTGGGTTCAGTCAATCCTCTTGCCTCTGCCTCCCAAAATGCCAGGGTTACAGGCGTGAGCCACCACGCCCGGCATGTTAGCATAATTTCTAATACATTATATTACATGGATGTGCCATAATTTATTAACCATTCCCCTGCTGCTGAATTTATAAGGAGTCAAATCTTTGCAGTTAGAAACAATGCTGTGGTTGTGTGTCTGTGCAAATACATTTCTCTTTGCAAAGAATTGCTATTTTTATTTTTTAGAGACATAGTATCTCTCTGTTGCCCAGGCTCAAGTGCATTGATGTAATCATAGCTCACTGTAACCTTGAACTCATGGGCTCAAGCAATCCCTCTACCTCATCCTCTGAGTAGCTAGAACTACAGGTGCATGCCACTGTGCCCAGCTAAGTTTTTATATTTTTTGTTAAGACTGGGTTTCAACATGTTGCCCAGGCTGGTCTTGAACTCCTGGTCTCAAGCAATCATCCCCCCTCATCCTCCCAAAGTGATGGGATTATAGATGTGAGAAAAATGGTTATTTTTCAGGATAAATTACTGAGGGACTAAAGCTGGATCAGAGAGTATAAACATATTTAAAACTTCATACTTTAAAATATGATAATAGAACCGGGTTTGGTGGCTCAGCCTGTAATCCCGCGCCTTTGGGAGGCTGAGGTGAGTGGATTGACTGAGCCTACGGGTTCGAGACCCGCCTGGGCAGCGAGACCTCATCTCTACAATAAATCAAAAAATCAGCCGGGCATGGTGGCGCATGCCTGTAGTTTCGGCTACTTGGAAGGCTGAGGCGGAAGGATCGCCAGAGCCCAGCAGGTCGAGGCTGCGGTGGCCGGGAGTGGCCACTGTACTCCAGTCTGGGTGATGGAGTGAGACTCCAACTCAAAAAATAAAAATAAAAAAATAAAATAAAACAAAATATAATAATAGGCCTGGCGTGGTGGCTTATACCTGTTTCCAACACTTTGGGAAACCAAGGTGGGAAGATCATTTGAGCCCAGGAATTCGAGACCACTCTGGGCAATATAGTGAGACTTTGTCTCTACAAAAAAATCAGGAAAATTAGCTGGGCATGTGCCTGTAGTCCTAGCTATTTGGGAGGCTGAGATGAGAGAACCTCTTGGGCCCAGGAATTCAGTTCTGCAGTGAGCCGTGATCACACCACTGCACTCACTGTGAATGACACAGTGAGATCCCAACTCAAATAAATAATCAGTTGAGATATTGCCTTCCTTCCAATAAAGCTCAAAATGCCTTGACACCTAATCTATTGCCAGTCCTTAAGTTGTCCCTATAATGTAAGAAAGATGAATATTATCTCTATTAGGTGGTCACTGAAGTTGAGTAATTAAGTTGTAAGGTCAAGGTCAGTCACTCAGCAGCAAGTCTGGACTGAATTAGGGCAGGATAACTCAGTTCTGAGTTTTTTAGAGGACTTTGCTTTTTTTTTTTTTTTTGA